ATTTCTCAGAAAACTACTAGAAAATATGTTTTAACAATTAAGCAAATAAACCTAGAAAAACAAAGATATAGTATATGGGAAATGGAAATATAACCCACGAGAAACACAAAGGGAATCCTCGGGTGAAGGGTGATCCCCAGATAAACACTGTAAGCCAAGTCTAGCAGATATTCAACCTAGATTACGACAGGTCAGAAATCTCAAAGAGATTGCTTCCAAAAGTTGAAGTTAGTAGGGCACCTGGTGGACCTGAAATCCAGAGACATCTTAGGATGTGTCATTCCTGGTCCTGTTTGCTCTCAGATCCATTTCCTGCCAATCCTCTGCTCCGCTCTGTGTTTCAGGGAGGGATGGTCCCTGCAGGTTGGCTTTCTTAGGCTTCTACATTAGTGCATTTCTGATTGAGACCATTGGTAACAGTTTGGAGAAGAGGAAAGGAAGGAAAACCAGGTCATTTTCTACATCTCTTTCTTGGGCAACTCCCTTAGTGTTATAAGTTTCTTGTTTGTTTGTTTGTTTGTTTGTTTGTTTTCCTTGAGGCAAACTCTCACTCTGCTGCCCAGGCTGAAGTGCACTGGCTTGATCATGGCTCACTGCAGCCTCAACCTCCTAGGCTCAGGTAATCCTTCCACCTCAGCCTCCCAAGTAGCTGGGACTACAGGTGTGTGCCACCACACCAGGCTAACTTTTTAATTATTTGTAGAGGTGAGGTTTCCCTATGTTGCCCAGGCTGGTCTCAAACTTCTGGGCTCAAGCAATCCTCCTCTTTCATCCAGAGTGCTGGGATTATAGGCATGAGCCACCAGACCCAGCCTAAGTTACCATTTTGATTCCATCTATCCCTGGATATTAATGCTAAGGCTTCAGACACCATTTTTCTCCTTTTTCTCTAAAACCTAGAAAGAAAAGCTACTGATAGCATTCTGCTGATACCAAAGTGTTCAGTTACTTCACTGCCCCCTTTAACTTCTCGCCTCCTCCCTGCGTTCCAGTTCCTTAAATTCAGTACCTTTGTTGTAAATTCTTTTTTTTTCCAGTTTGAGAAATTAATGTGTATCAGTGATATAAGTTTCAAACACATTTCCAACATTTCATGTGACTTTTTCTTAGATGTCCTTGATTTACAATGTGCAGGGATGTATTTATTTCTGCAGTTGCATTTATCAATCTCTTTTATGGATTCTGACTTGCCCCACTGAGTTTATTAAAACAAATCCCCCTGCTTTTCCTTCTGGGTCCCTTCCTGGACTTAACCTCCATGCTGAATACCCCCTCTCCTTCCAGCCCTGCAGGTATCCCTTTTCCCTGGATGTGCACAGGCCTTCGTCATCTTTGCACTCTCTGTTACTCCTTCCTGGAAAACTCTCCTTGTCATCTAGCCTCCCAGGATCATCCTTCACATCTTACTTCAGATGTGAAGTAGCTGTTCCTCTAGGAAGCCCTCCTGGACCACAACATGTACTGCCTCATTTACATTTACTGATTTACATCATCATCCTCAGGCCTTGTGCATCCTGAGTCACCTCCATCATATGTCATGTGGCCTTGTGAACACCTGTTCCTAAGTCCCCACTCCTCACCAGACTCTGAATTTCCTGGAGTGAGTCTCTGTCAGATGCATGGTGATAAGTCAGTAAACTAGTGTCAGGTGAGGATATGGATAGAGAACAAGAACATTCAGGGTCAACCTGGATGCTAAAGTGTCAGTAACAGCATTGAAGAGGGTGTGGAATATGGGTCTAATCTGACATCTTATCTGGGTGTCCTGTGAAGCCTGAGACCTCTGTGCTTTCTGGGGCCTCAAGCAAGCTGAACAGGGCCCATCAGTGCAGAGACCTTCACAGAGAAACTGGGGCCTGAGCCAGGCTCTGGGCTACTGCTCACTCCTCTCTTCAGATCCATTTCATAGTCTCTGTTTCTCTCAGTCTATGTCTGTGTGTCTGAATCTGTCCGTCTATTTGCTCTTCTTCAGAGTTCTCCTTCCTTCTCAATGTCTGTCACTCAGACCCTCTGTCTCTTTCTCTCCAGAATCCGTAACCCTGAAAAATGGTTTATCACTTCACTTCAGGTGCTGGAAGGACAGTGTCTGCACCTGGTCTGTGTTTTCAACAGCAAACCTCCAGCCAGGCTGAGCTGGGCCCAGGAGAGCCTGACCCTGAGCCCCTCTCGGTCCAACACTGGAGTGCTAGAGCTGCAAGTGCACCTCAGAGATGAAGGAGAATTTACCTGCCAAGCTCAGAACACTCTGGGAACAGCAGAGCTCCCTGACGCTCTCCCTGCAGAGTGAGTGTCAAGGGGCTGCACGCCAGACCGCAGCCTCTCACAACCTGCAGCTCCCAGGTAGCTAAGCAAGTGGCCCCCTGGGGTCACCCAAGGGAATAGGAGTGCACTCAGCCCAGATTCAAAGTCAGCTTTGAGGCCTGGACTGACACTGAGGCCAGAGCCCTCTGTTTACTGCTGGTCAATCTTGGGAAGGGTTGAGGTGAGGCCTGGAAATGACATGTTCTTCCATCCAGGAATTCAGGAAAGATCTGAAGAACAAATGTCCAAGTCTTACAGGAACAGGAAAAACAAGGAATTGTGGTTTAGCAGGTGAATCTTCCTTGTCCCATTTTTCCCAGTAAAACCAGGGCTCATGGTGGAGGTATTTATTTTGGCCATCAGGGAGGCAGCTGTGAAGATCTTGTTTCTCTGTCTCTGCCTCATCTTCCTCAGGTGAGTGCTGCCCCAGGACCAAAGCAGGAGGTGTGGGGCAGGCAGGGACATGATGCTGAATTCGATTCCTAGTGCTGGAGGGACCTGAACCAGTTACGAGGGCCTGAGGCCAGCAGTTGAGTTGTGATGAGAATTCTGCATGGGCCAGTTGCTGTCTGTCCCCAACTCTGGGCGAGAGTCCAGCTCTCATCATGGAGGTCTTGGAGGTTAGGCCTGCTCTCTCCACCTCAGTCCCCTCCAGCCCCTTAGCAGGGCACAGGAAGGTGAGTTTGCTGCTCTCTATATCCTGATCTGGCCACAGTGACAGGCCATGGGCCCTTCGCTTATTATGAGGTCCTGCAGTAGGAATGCAGCAAGGGCAGCAGCAGGTGTGGAAGCTGTAAATACTGTTACGGGGCCAATCTTCCAGATGAGTGTCATGGAAGCCTCACCCTCCAAATCCCACTAGACACCTCTCCCTAGATGGCTCCTAGGATTGCTCCACTCAACATGGCCAAAGTTGAACCAACCATCTACCCACCCCCAAACAACTTTCTCTCTGGGATCCCCATCCCACCAATGACACAGTGACCCCCTCTTTAAAGTCATAACAAGGGTGTGGTTCTCCACCTTGAGCTTCCTCCTCCCTTCTCCAGATCCCATAGATCACTAATTCTTGTCCCTCCTTCTCCTAAGCAGAGCTCACCTTGGAGCCCTTTTCTCCATCCTAACCCTGTTCATTCCTGGAGCCTCATCTTTTTTCTGGTCACTGAACCCTCCTGACCTCCTGCCTCTCTCTCTCCCCACCACAGGCCTCCACACAGTGCTTCTAGATGCCTCTATGTCCAGTTCCTCCACAGTCTGAATGGCCATGTTTCCTTTCCATTGCTGTAGAATGAGGTGCAAACACCACAGCATGGTCTGTCACCTGCTAGATTTTGCTCCCAGATGGTACACAAATGGCCAAAGAGAGGTGGCGGGCGCCTGTAGTCCCAGCTACTCGGGAAGCTGAGGCAGGAGAATGGTGTAAACCCGGGAGGCGGAGCTTGCAGTGAGCTGAGATCTGGCCACTGCACTCCAGCCTGGACGACAAAGCGAGACTCTGTCTCAAAAAAAAAAAAAAAAAAAAAAAATTGGCCGAAGAGCACATGAGAAGATGCTCAACATCATTAGTCATTTGACAAATGCAGATCAAAACTGTAAAGGAGATGCTACTTCACACTAATTCCGAGGGCTGTACTATTTTTCCCATTGCTTCTGTAACATATTACCCCAACATTAGTTAGTGGTTTGAAACAACACCACATACTTCCTTACAGTTCCGCAGGTCAGAAGGATGAAACAGGACTCACCGGACTATAAAATGAAGGATGGTTCCTTCTGGATGCTTTTTGGAGCAAAGGTTTTATTGTTGGGTCTGCAGGCTATACAAGAAGCATAGTGGCTTCTGCTTTTGCTTGGCTTCTGGGGAGGCCTCAGTAGACTTAAAATCATGGCAGAAGGTGAAGGGGGAACCAGCACTTCACACAGCTAGAGGAGGAGGAAGAGCTTTGTTGTAAATTCTTAAAATGGTTTCATTTTTCCTGGTGAGATATATGGTTGAATTACAAAGAAATACCTAGAAATCTAAGAAAAACAATAAAGCAAAATGATTAATAGCAAGGAACAAAATTTGTGTAAGAAAGAGAAGGTTCTCGGCCAGGCACGGTGGCTCACGCCTGTAATCCCAAGACTTTGGGAGGCTGAGGTGGGTGGATCACAAGGTCAGGAGTTCACAACCAGCATGGCCAACATGGTGAAACCCTGTCTCTAATAAAAATAAAATAAAAAAGAGAAGGTTCTCGGTCGGGCGTGGTGGTGCATGCCTGTAATCCCAGATACTTGGGAGGCTGAGGCAGGAGAATCACTTGAACCCAGGAGGTGGAGGTTGCAGTGAGCTGAGATCGCGCCATTGCACTCCAGCCTGAGTGACAGAGCAAGGCTCCATCTTGAAAAAAAATAAAAAGAAAAGAAAGAGTCGCCCCTCGGAGCCGGAAATGCAACTGTTGGGATATTCGGATGCTGGGGAGCTGGAGGCGGAGGCGGCTGGCGAGGTCCGAGCGATGTGACCAGGCCGCCTTCGCTCGTTTCTTCCTCTCTCCTGCCGCCTCCTATATCGAAAATAACTTTTTTAGTCTAAAGAAAGAAAAACAAAAGTAGCCGTCAGCCCCTCACGCCCTCTCTTCCTCTCAGCCTTCTGCCCGGTGAGGAAGCCCAGGGTGGCCGCTCTGCCGTCTGGGCCGCGCTGCCGATCCCAGGCCGCCCCCATGCATCCCTTGTACACCGGGGCCGCCACCATGATAGGTGAGATCACCGTCGCTGTGTCCTTCATCTCCAAGTTCCTCCACACCAAAGGGCTCACGAGCGAGCGACAGCTGCAGACCTTCAGCCAGAGCCTGTAGGAGCTGCTGGCAGAACATTATAAACATCACTGGTTCCCAGGAAAGCCATGCAAGAGATCAGGTTACCGTAGTATTCGCATCAACCATAAAATGGATCCTCCGATTGGACAGGCAGCACAGCGGATTGGACCGAGCAGTCAGGAGCTGTTCAGGCTTCTCCCAAGTGAACTCACGCTCTGTGTTGACCCCTGCGAAGTGTCCTACAGAATTGGAGAGGATGGCTCCATCTGTGTGCTGTATGAAGCCTCACCAGCAGGAGGTAGCACTCAAAACAGCACCAACGTGCAAATGGTAGACAGCCGAATCAGCTGTAAGGAGGAACTTCTCTTGGGCAGAAGGAGCCCTACCAAAAACTACAATGTGATGACTGTATCATGTTAAGATATAGTCTGTGGATGGATCATCTTATAATGATGGATAAATTTGATTTTTGCTTTGGGTGGGCTCCTCTTGGGGATGGATTGTGGAATTTAAACCATGTCACAGCTATGAAGATCTGGCACAAGATAGAGTGGTAAAAAAAAAATTTTTTAAGTGACAGTGCCATAGTTTGGACAGTACCTTTCAATGATTAATTTTAATAGCCTGTGAGTCCAAGTAAATGATCACTTTATTTGCTAGGGAGGGAAGTCCTAGGGTGGTTTCAGTTTCTCCCAGACATACCTGAATTTTTACATCAGTCCCTTTAAAGAAAATCTGTATTTCAAAGAACCTTTCTCTGCAGTAAATCTCGCAGAGGAATTTGCACTATTACACTTAAATTGTTACTGTTAACCTTTTTGGCAGCTCAATAGGAAAGCTGAACGTTTTAAACATGGTAGTACTGGAAATTTTACGACAAGACTTTTACCTAGCACTTAAATATGTATAAATGTATATAAAAACAAACTAGTAAGCATGACCTGGGGAAATGGTCAGACCTTGTATTGTGTTTTTGTCCTTGAAAGTAGCAAGTGACCAGAATCTGCCATGGCAACAGGCTTTTAAAAGACCCTTAAAAAGATACTGTCTCAACTGTAGTGTTAGCACCAGCCAGCTCTCTGTATATTTGCTAGCTTGTAGTTTTCTAAGACTGAGTAAACCTCTTATTTTTAGAAAGTGGAGGTCTGATTTGTAACTTTCCTTGTCCTTAATTGGGTAAAAGTCTTTTCCACAAACCACCATCTTTTTTGTGAACTTTGTTAGTCATCTTTTATTTGGTAAATTATGAACTGGTGTAAATTTATGCAGTTCACGTATATTGATTATGGCAAAGTTGTACAGATTTCTATATTTCGGATGAGAAATTTTTCTTCTCTCTATAATAAATTGTTTGTTATCTTGGCATTTTTTTAAAAAAAGAGAGAAGGTTCTCATATTTTACTATATGGTTTAGCCCTTATTTTAATTTAAATGATCAAAGTAAAATAAATATTTGCTCTAACAAAGATTAGACTCACTTTTCATAACCCAAACCATACAACATGAGAGACCAGATCATAGAATTTCTCCTATAGAGCAAAAAGATACTCCTATTTGTAAGAGGTAGAAAAGTCTTATAGCTCTATTGAGAAAAGAAGAATACAATGTACAGGAAATAAAAGCTCTTCCTTTTGAGTGAGAGGGGTAGAGGGAGGAAGGTAGAGAGAAGAAAGAAAAGGGAGAAAGGAAGTATGGGAAGTATGACACATGGATCCGATAGACCTTCTCCAGTCTTCTTTCCAAAGAACACAGGTATATTGGGTAAACTCCAAATGAGGAGATCTGGCCCCTTCTCTATCTTTGAGACTTTGGAAAGAGACTACCTGTCAGAACTGGAGAGAGAGCATGTCAAGTAAATTTAATAGCAACTCTGAGTTCTACCTGAGAGCTTGTCAGAAGTAGCTGCTGTAATTAGGATGAGAGTTCTTAGAACTGGGGTTTGAAGTTCTTAGAACTTAACTGGAGTTAAGGAGTTCAGACACTCCTAAGGGGTAACAAGGTGGAGCCAAATCAATGGAAAGAGAGTACAAAGACCTCAGTGAGCTGAGGACAAAGAGAACACAAGCTCATTGCTATAATTGTCGGCAATAAATACCATCAACGGAAACAGTTCATGAATGAAATAAACCAGCCAGTGCACCCCTCAACCACAAGGACCAGCCTAGGGCCAAGGAGACACATTTCCCTTAATTCTCTCAATAACCCCAGACTAATAACTTCAGCACACTGCAAAAGATGCTTCTAGCGGTCCAGTAACTCCACTATTCTTCCAAAAGATGCTACTTGGGGAGGAACCCAGAAGGGAAGCAGAATCCCAAAAGAACCTGAGTATTACAAGATAAATGAAGTTACCTAAAGAGAAAAATTAAATGTTTGGATCCTACTGCTTCATGCTGACTTGGGCTATAACTGGTTTATATATTTTTTTCTGACTGCCTAGAGACATAAAGAAGCACATTTGAGTTGTTGTGGTCCATTGGCAACCTCACAATGCAGAAGTTTAGCTACAGAAGCAACAATTTTATTCATGAGAAGACTGAAGCACAGAGGGCTTAAATGTCTTTGCCAAGGTTAAAGCCGAAAATAGAATGATGATTTCAACTACAGTTGACCTTAGTAGAAGGCAGGTCCTCTTTGCCAAATACGAGTATCTTGATCCCTCAACAAAGGCTCTTTTTCCTGCACCTTCACTCTCCAGCCACTGCCTTTCTTTTCCTATTCCAACTTCTAGGTAATGATACAACTCTTCATTCTGCTTAAGACCGTGTGTCTGATGTTTACTATAGATACAATTAGCTTAAAGTTTGTTTAAAGTTACAGATAAAAAAATCTTACAAGTTACAACAGGCCATCTATAAAAACAAATAAAAGAGGAACTCACAGTCACTTGTAGATTCTGAACAGATGTCTTTGGCAAGAATAGAATGTAGAAAGAAGAAAATTCCAAACCATGATGCCACTTGGACAGTTCTGAGAACACTGATACAGCTTCCCCATTTTTAAATTTATAATTACTACTGTAATTATAAAACTAAAATAAAAGTAAAACTCTGGTGAAAATACAAGTTGAGAATGTATCAGCTGACAAGAGAATATTTTCTTTTTTTTCTTTTTTTTTTTTTTTTTTGAGACGGAGTCTCAGTCTGTCGCCCAGGCTGTAGTACAGTGGCCAGATCTCAGCTCACTGCAAGCTCCACCTCTCGGGTTTACGCCATTCTCCTGCCTCAGCCTCCGGAGTAGCTGGGACTACAGGCGCCCGCCACCTCACCCGGTTAGCTTTTTGTATTTTTTAGTAGAGACAGGGTTTCACCGTGTTAGCCAGGATGGTCTGGATCTCCTGACCTCGTGATCCACTCGTCTTGGCCTCCCAAAGTGCTGGGATTACAGGCTTGAGCCACCGCGCCCGGCCGAGAATATTTTCAACAGGAATGACCACTCAGACGTTTGACGTTAGAATCTATGATGGTTAAAAGAGAAGGGTAACTATTCGAGATATGCAAGGATGCTGAACAGGAGGCATTCTACTCCACCCATCACTTGACCTCCTTTCACAATTTATGGTGCTCCTGGGTATCAAAGACCTAATTATTTTAATCACTATTCTTTCTGTGGGTTTTTAAATAATTAATTTGTTTCCGATTCAGTCTAAGCTCTCAAGAAAACTGTGGAGTCTTGTCATAATACTTTGTAATTTATAACTTCCTTTAGTTATATTCTTTCCTGGTATTCTCACACTACTTCATGTGATAGATGATACAGATGAGAAACTGTGGTTCCAAGAATTCAAGCAATTTCTGCAAGGCCCCATTACTGGAACATGAGGAGCTGGGATTCCAAACCCAGTCTTCCAACGGCAAATCCTTTTCCACTCTAATTCCTTCCTGAATTTATCTGATTTACAGCAGGGTAATGACTCCCAAACTTTAACTCTACCCTAGGAAATTACTCATACTTTCTCTTTATCATCAAAAAGGAGCCTGTCAAGAATCAGTGTCAAAAATTCTTAATCCAGTGAACTGTATTGCTCTTCTAAATTTAACTCTACACCAAATTATGCATAGAAAGAGATTCGTTGGCCTGCAGACCTGAGATTCTGAAATTTTCTGTAGTGCCTAACAGACCTTTTTGATCCATCACATTTAGTCACATCAATCATATTAACTCAAATAACACATTGTAGAGAAAATAATGTAACTTGATTGATGTGAACAGATGTGACATGGGACAATTAAGTTTCAGTTTAAGGACCCAAGGAGAAAAAACACCTGATGTTCTATAAGGTTCACTAAACAAAGACCCCATTACTAACAGTATAAATAGGATTTATAGGCTTTGTTTTCCCAAGTGGAAGAGAGAAGAAATACAATATATCTTAATAGTATAATATGTGTTTATCTACCGTGCATGGGCAGAAAATTCCCCGATTGTCTGAAATCTAATATTTCCTTTTGCATTCTAGAGCCAAGTCTAACCTAGCAATACTAATCCACAGGGAAAATAACACTGTATTTTACGAAATAAATTATAATTATTATACATATGGAGGAAAACATTTCAAAATAATTCAATATATTTCAGAAAATTCAGTAATTTTAATAGACTTGAAATGTGAATAATACTTTATTGGGAATATTTTTAAAGCATTTTAGATGGTGAATATTTAAAGGCATTTACACTGGTACAAAAGATTATAACCATTCCTTTCAAAGTCTTCTTTTTCTTGAGTTCCACTTCATAATTTAAACCTAAGTACAACAAAGATCAAAATATACTGGGAGTTGAGTCCATTCTCTATCTCCCACTGAGACTGAGTTGTAGTGGTGCCCATACCTAGCACCATGGCCTCCTTGAATAAAGTCTGCCTTACCAGCTTAAGAAAATACTCACGTACACACATTTTTTAATGGAAGAAACAGGGAAACATTTGGTAGTTTTAAGTGTGTGTGTGTGTGTATATATGTATGTATACACACACACACATACACACACACACCCCTATATTAGGTATATATACCTATATATGAAAACAACAAAGACATATAGTATATGTGTACACGTGTGTATATATACACTTGTGTGTATATGTCTACTTGAATGTGTGTATACATATATATATGCATATATATATATACACACACACACACTTAAAACTACCAAAGTTTTCCTGTTTTTTTCCCATTAGATATTGAGAAAAGTAACCCTTGTATTTTATATATCTTATTAGAGGAAATAATAATTGATAATCAATCTAATGTGTTTTTTTGGTTTTTTGTTTTTAGTTTTTTGGTTTTTTTTCTTTTGAGATGGAGTCTTGCTGTGTCACCCAGGCTGGAGTACAGTGGTGTGATCCTGCTCACTGCAAGCCTCGCGTCCTGGGTTCACACCATTCTACTGTCTCAGCCTCCAAGTAGCTGGGACTACAGGCACGCACAACCACGCCTAGCTAATTTTTTTTGTTTTGTTTTTTTTTAATAGAGACGGGCTTTCACCTTGTTAGCCAGGATGGTCTCGATCTCCTGACCTTGTGATCTGCCTGCCTCAGCCTCCCAAAATGCTGGGATTACAGGTGTGAGCCACCGCGCCCGGCCAATCTAATGTTTTTAAAGCATATGTTTATTTTTTCTTTTTAACATTTCTCTCTTTCCTATCTCTAATACGCTTTCCCTTTTTTTCAGTCATCTCTCTCAGGTTAAATAATCCTCTTTCTATTTTGCTTCCCTCCCTCTTTATTTCCTCAATGATTTACGAAAGGAACACCCAGGATTTCAGTACCCAATTCTTAGATGCTGTGTTTCTGGCCCCTGGCGTGCACAGTTAGTTAGTGCTTCCTAGGAAGCTGCTGCACAGAGGCAAAGTCTGGAGAGAGAGCGTGCCACCTCACAGCAGCTGTGTGGCCTTGGCCATGGACTGGATTCCTGTGCTTAAGGTTTCTTATCTTCATACTTGAGATAATCACAGTTACACACCCTATGGAGTAATTAGTGAGAACTAAATGAATTGATTCTAAAGTGCGTTATATATTTAGTAGTAGTAGTAGATGCTCAGTATGTTAGTTTATTTTCTCCTTTGTTGAGGGATTGAGTTCCATCTTTTTATAGAAGTTAGTTTTTCTACCAATTTTGTTTCTTCTTCTCTCCATTAATGCCCAAGAAAGGAGATGAAGATGAAAATTGCAGGTTTCTTCTCCTCTTTTCCCTGTCTAATTTTGTTCATATTACAAAGCATTTCAGCATGGTAGGGTATAGCATCATGCTGAATGCTTTATAACATGAACTGAAATTAGTTTATGAGAATGAAAGCTGAATAAAGCAATTTATAGGGAAATGAAAATCAGGGCGAGGGGCAGAGAGGCATTTATAATTACAAGACAAAAAATTGTGTATGGGCCAGGAATGGTGGTTCACACATGTAATCCTAGCACTTTGGGAAGCTGAGGAAGGAGTTTGCTTGAGCCCAGGAGTTCAAGACTAGCCTGGGCAACATAGTGAGGTCTCACTCTATATAAAAATCCAAAAAAATTGACAGGCTTGGTGGCACACGTCTGTAGTCCCAGCTACTCGGGAGACTGAGGTTAGAGGATTTCTTGAGCCCGGGAGGTTGAGGCTGCAATGAGCTGTGATCATGCCACTGTACTCCAGCCTGGGCAACAGAGTGAGACCGCATCTCAAAAAAACAAAACAAAACAAAAACAAAGTTGGGTATGGCATCCCAGGCCCTTCACAGTAATCCTATCCAAATGCTCATGTTTCTGTCCTCTATTCCTGAGAAGCACCTGCTTTAGCCACATGAGAAGGCTTTCTGTGCCCCAAACTTTCCTTTCCCCCTTTTCTACCTGTTGGAATTCTAGTCTCC